CCCCAAAACCCCAAAACCCCAAAACCCCAAAACCCCAAATGTTAAGAGGAGGGTGGAAAATGGGGGTAAAAGGGGGATTTAGGGTGAAAAGATGGGGGTCTGGGTATGGATAAGGTTAGAACTGGTAATCTGGGGAAGGAAATGCACCTCTCTTTATAAAGTCTTGACTGTGTTGTTGATCGATGCTGAGTTCTTCTTGATAATTCTGATTTTCTTTCCTTTTTACTTCAACTTTTTCACCTGAAAGTTTTCTAAATGGTAGATAATTTTCCATTCTTAATAAAACATCTAGGCAAAGGCCTAAGATCTTTCTAAAGAAGCTTAATTGAACTTCAGTCTTGCTGAACTGTCCAAGGGTATTACAAAAAAAATGTTTAGCTAAACTTGCATTATTTTTGAGTAAAACAAAACTCATTCTTTCAAAAAAATTACAATGAGTTGAAATTTGGCTACCTTTTGGAGAAGAAGTCTGTAACTAATTTCGGGGGAGCAGGAGGCTCATCTCCTAGCTCTCTTCTGGTAGTTGTATTATCGATCACTACTGTTTTACTCTTGCAACATTTTTGCTTGAGGTAATTTTTTAGGCTGATAAGACCATCAATAGCAACAATAATGGAGACTAGGAAGCCGTTGATCATGACAATCATAATGCAGGCCTGGGACATTCCTACTTTCCATTGAGCTTCAGTTTGAAACAGACAAATCAGTCCATTCAGGAACAGGAAAATTACCTCATTCAGTACTTCAAGTAAGTTATCCTTTGCAGATTCATAAGGTCTATTCTGTACGAGATATTGAAGATATAGAATTTGGAAAACTAAAAACAAGGTTCATTTCATGGACACAGCTGAGTTCCTAAAGACAACAATACAAGTTGCAACGATAATTCTCCTGGTCAGGAACACCACTCCAAACAGTTGGTTCTTCTTGCCTGGCTTATACCCTTCGTATCACTCTTTAAACTTGGACGAATCTTCGATTTGACCATCTTCGTTATATTTCTTAAAATGATAATATATAGCGAATGGTAAAACCAGAAAAATAATCATGAACACTAAAGAGATATGATACGATACAGGTTTATCAAGAAAAGCTGAGAATGTCGTAACCTCCAGTATGCAGCTTATAAACGCGAACAGATAGGCTTCCAAGACCAGCCTAATGTAGCAAGTGAAGAAGAAGAACGAGAGCAGCCATTCAAATATCTTCTTTGTGAACTTCTTCTTCTTTAATACTGGAATGCAATAAAAGACAGCGACAAAAGCTAGGTTGAATAGTCCCATGAAAGCAATGGCTTTGAAAAATTGAAACTGTTTCACGAAGAAGCTTCCAGAACTAAACCCGTTTTCTTCAAAGATCTCATCATCAAGTTTGTAGTCTAGATCTTCCACGAATGGCTCTATCTCCGGGAACTTGGCAAAGTCCAGAAACCCAAAATTTAGATTGAACATCTCGAACTCTGTCAGGTAGTATACAAAATCAGCTGGCATATAACTCTTCAACAATGGGAAGAGTAGATACAGTTGGTATTGGTTGACCACAGACCAAACTGAGCTCGATCCTGAACTAGTTGAAGTCATTGCATTTATAGCTGCAACACCAGCTGATGCAACAACCACAACAGTTGTGGCTGCTGCAAATGCCTGTACTGGCAAAACCTCTTTTGATCATTCCTTCTTGTCTTGAGAGAGGACATATCCATTTTTACAGCCATTACATAAGGTGTCCTTGGTGGATTCTTCACAGACGCCTCAATTAGAAATTCCTCAATTGAAAAGATTGATGGAACTGTACTGGGTAAAACTATAATTGGCTGTTTGACCTTGAAAATTCCTTTGATAAGTAAAGTTTATCCCTATTTCATAAGTTGCCACGTTATTCTTGGTCTCAGGAGCATTAACAATAATTGCTGAAAAATCATCTTTCAAGGTGACCCAACTCGGACTTGTGTCTCCATCCTTGTTGGTGACCAATTCAGCAGACATAGTGTAGTTATTATCATTGGTGACATAACACGGAGTGACTATTTCATGAGTACTCTTGCCTCCAGTAGAAACAGTTATATCAGTGAATGATGTATTCTGGTAATTAAAATTTCCAGTGTAGACAGCTATGGTTTGTGTATCTACATCTGAGAGCAGTGTTGGAGAACTATCCGTTATGGTCCTGCTTCCCGTCTCAACATTCATTGTAATAGTTGCAGATGTAGGCGCGGTAAAAGTACCTGAAGACTGGATCGTTACACTTACTTCACTATAAAGCTGAGCAGTCAGAAATGTATCATGGAAGTCATGTTTGCTAAGCGTACCTATGTAGGAAATAGATTCTCTAGGTCCAAGATATAGATACCCGTATTTAACAGCAATAGCATGAATGATTGTAGTAGAGAGATAATATGTAGTAACCACCTTATCTTCAGAGAAATCGTAGATAATGATATAGGCTTCATTGCCTCCATTACTTAGGATAAAAATTTTATCATCATCTCCATATTCACCAATGGCTTCTATAGCTCTAGATGATGAATAAAGAGGGGCCGAGGATTGCACTTTGGCTGTAGGTACATAAGTTCCATTGCTAAGCCCAATGGTGATGATTGTTTCTATCTGGCTGTCGTCCATATAAGCAACTACAAAGATATCTCTTGATTCTAGAACAAGTGACAATGCTGAGTTCATGACTGCACAAGATCCTCCTGTACACCCAATGTCAACTCCATAATTCACCGAAGAATTGGGAAATGTATAGGAGAAATACCAGATTTGATTTGTTTGCCAAGTTCCAAAGATCACATTCCTATTTGAGCTAGAGTATGCTTCCACCGAGAACATTTGATCATTCGGGAAATTTATCGAATAGGAAATTCCAAGGTTACTAGCATCAAGTTCAGTGAGAGTACCTCCGCTAGCTGAGCTTGTGCACTGAGCATAAAGATAACCTCCGCTATAAGATATACCGTTACAATTTTTTATGCCAGTATCAGTTTGAATAAATCTGCTCACAGAGCCATCAGCAGTTGCTATTTTGCCAAAGTATCCTTTTGTCCCATCATTAACAGCGAAGTACATATAGTCTTCAGCATCATCAAGAACTGCTGAGCGCTGGTTGACCACATATTGGTAGCCCTTGCTCCAAATGACACTAGAATCGCCTGATCTCTTTTCAAAAATAGTGTCTACATAAACGGTTGGTGATCCAATATTAGTAGTGCCAGTGCTAACAACATAAAAATCAAGACCATCGCTTGAAGGAAGGATATTGGTCACATGCCTTCCTACATCAGAGGATGTCTTCATCATTGCTCCGAATGAATTAAAGTTTGTGTTAACCTCACTGGAGCACACATAGTTTGCTGTAACCAATGCTAGGCATAATCCTAGTATGACTAGGGTTTCTTTTGCTTTTCCAAAAATGTTTTTCATAATTATTTATATCGAAATAATTATACTAACTCAACTGTATCTGATATCACTGGGGTTTTGGGGTTTTGGGGTTTTGGGGTTTTGGGG